CGGAAACCCAGACTCCACACCAGACGTTTTACTGCACACAACAAACTTAACAAGCACCATTAATAACATAAGCCTAACTAACGAACTTGGATCCGACCATCTGACTATAACGTTTAACATAGACTTAAAACATACGCAACCTACCCTCAGTACACCGAATCAAGAGAAAAAGTTAAACTTAACTAAGACTGACATAGACAAAGTAAAACATCACATATATAACTACATACAATCGCAAGCACAGACCATCTCTATTGAATCCATACAACAACAACTTTCTCTAGCGATTGGAAAATTCACTCCTGAAATTAAAAATGTTTTCTACCGACACACCCTACCCAAATTCATATTCACACTGAACCAACTGAACAGGAACATTAAAACTCTGATTGGACAATACCGACAAGACAAATGGTTAGAAACATGTGAGGAAATAGAAAAAGACAAGGGCAAAACATATTGGCAAAAATCAAGAAATTAGCACAATACAAGAAAACTAACACTACTGACACAATTGACGAAAACGGAATAGAACGTTACACAGACAAAGAAAAAGCTGACGCATTCGCCGGACACTATCAAAAGGCCTTCAGCATGTCGGCAAACCCTAACTTCGACAGTGACAACTGGAACATGATCAATGACTGGTACTTGAACTACTTTAACAACTCACCAAACTATACTTACTAACTAATCACAGACACAGAGTACGATGAAGCCCTATCATATATCAAAAACACAGCACCGGGAAAAGACAAAATAAAGGCAAAACTCCTGAAAAGCTTAACCGTGAAACCCAGAAACTCATCCTTACTGAAATCAACAACTGCATCACAAATAATAATATTCCGAAAACGTGGAAGTGGTGTAATAATTCCTATACCTAAAAATGGACGAGACGGTACACAAATGGAAAACTACAGACCTATTACATTACTCCCGGTGTTGTGCAAAGTCTTGGAACACATATTAAAACAGAGACTCGAAGACCTCATCGGAAAACATATACCAACCTACCAATTTGGCTTCAAACAATATCACTCGACTATTCATCCGCTATGTATTTTGACCAACAACATACAAACAACTCACCTAACTGACGGAAAGTCGGCATGTCTACTCATGGACATCAACAAGGCTTTTGATAGTGTCTGGCATAGG